GGCTATACTGGGGTAAAGAAATATATAATACAGTAGGATATACAACGTCAATGCAATATGATAATCAATCTTGATTATGCCGGATTCCACAGAGCATTGAAGGCAGAACACTTTTGAAATACACACATGGACATTAACCAGGAACCATCACTTTTACATATTTATATGTACGAAAACACTACATGCTGTACATGCTTTGAAAACCAAATCCCACGTATTAGAACAAAAACTTTAACATATTTGTCTCTGATGAAAACAAAAACTAGACAGAAATTGAAATTTGGTAACAATTTACTTGCAATCGGAAAATAAAATCACAAAAATTTGAATATCAACGATGCCGTAAAAGTATGGTCACCATGACTTCGTCACCAGTATTATTGTCACACAGTTCCCAAATACAGAGTTATCAGTTTTTAAACTATGCCTTGCTATGAGAGCATCGGCAAGAGGCATTTGTTGAATTAATGAGACCGTCCTTGAACTTTAGGCAAGTTCAGTGAGCTAAATTGACTACGGATATTGACCAAAGGTGGGCCCGCTTGCCGATAAACTTCCAGCGTGATATCAAAGGTCACAATATCTCTTGGATAATGGAACCGCTACTTGCAGCTGTATTTTCCGCATATTATTTTTAATGCTGTCTGTTGAAACTTTATAACCTACACCACATTTTACGAGTAATATTTACTACCGTTATGAACACTTGCCTTATGCTTCTAGATGATGAGCCATCGTTTGTGATATTATGGATTGGTTGGCTGGTTTGTTGTTTAACACCACTGAAAGCGTACATGTACATATTCCTTCATGCTGAAGATACTATTGCATCCTGAACGTGATCTTCAAAGCATCACATGGTTTGCTACAGAGGTTGGTTGGGTAGTCTTTTGGTTGGTTGTTGTTTAACGCCGCACTCAGCAATAGTCCAGCTATATAGCGGCGGTCTGTAAATAATCGAGTCTGAACCAGACAATCCAGTGATCAACATCATGAGCATCGATCTACGCAATTGGGATACGATGTCGCAAACAAGTCAGCGAGCATGACCACCCGATCCCGTTATTCGCCTATTACGACAAGAATGGGGTATTGAAGATCAATATTCTAACCCGGGAAGATGTGTTATGGTATGACTTCCTGTTATCGGGACACTCGTTGTGTTTAATTTAGCTACACCCTCATTGTGCACACAGAACTACTGTCCTGAACAATGCATCTATTTCTGCCCCGGACATTCACACTTAAATACAGGGAGACATTGTGTTAATAGTTTCGCATCTAAGTCAAATAAACAATGGTGTACCGACATCGCGCGTTTCACTTTTGTAATATATTTTGTTTGTTTGCTTGTTGTTTTACGCCGCACTCAGCAATATTCCAGCTATATGCAGCAGCCTTTAAATAATCGAGTCTGGGCCAGACAATCCAGTCACCAACACCATAAGCATCGATCTGCGCATATTGGATAAGAATACATGTATTAACCAAGTCAGCGAGCCTGACCACCCGATCCCGTTAGTCGCCTACTGAAGACCATATGCAACAGTCTGTAATATATGGACCGGACAATCCATATGCAGCAGTCTGTAATATATTGACCGGACAATCCAGTGATCAACCCCATAAGCATCGATCTGCGCATTTTGGATAAGAATACATGTATTAACCAAGTCAGCAAGCCTGACCACCTGATCCCGTTGGTCGCCTACTGAAGACCAATTATAACAGGGATGTTCACGGGTCTTTGATATACATGTATGTAGCATGCCACCTGTCGGAAAATTGGATCTTGGTATGTATTCACACATTCCCAACACTGTAATGGCTCGGCTATCACGTAAAAGTTTTCTCTTTACAGTTTACACGAGGGGTTTGTGATTTATACTTAACAACTGCCAAATTATAACCTAACGTTAGTTTCTTCATGAAAAACGTTTGACAGGGCCATAACTCTGCTTGGTTTCGTCACATTTAAAAAAAAAAATAGCCCACCTATTTCACCTCGTGCTTTCCTCCCAGATTAACTGACGATGAAATAATATTCAAGGTGCTGTTAACCACAGACCATAATACAAAATCCCGCACACTGAATAAATATATGAATAGAAGCTTTGCCAGCGTTGTCAATATATCTACTTTAGCTTGTGAAAGGCATTTGAAGTAGTGACAATGAGAAGTATGTCAAGTGCTCTAATCCCACTCTGCCCTGTTATATCTCTCACAAATGGGATACAGGATCTCACAGCGTGATGTAGTGTGTAGATGTTTCCTTGTACGAGTCTATATTTTCCTGGTTTCTTTCCATTACCTGCCTTTCAATTCCATATCATACCAACACACATTAGTAGTGAGTGAGTGACCGCTGGTATATTGCTGTATATTGCTGAGTGTGGCATAAAACTAAACTCACCCACTCACTCAGTGGAGACCCGAGTGTCCCCAGTTACACATCTACTACATGTTTGTCGATTGCTTACGGGTCGCCATTATGTGTGGCGTAATACAACAAACTGCAGATTAATATACTCATGCCAATAATGGTTGTCACCCGCTCCCCAATAAATACTTGTGGGCCTCATGTGGACAATTAATACTTTTGGAAATGGAAGCACAAAACCCATCCCACCTACTCAAACTATTGTTGTCCACTGCAGTAATAATATTTTCACCTAGCTCCTATTTATCTATATATGTACCCCCTCATATGTGTATACAATTTAGCACACATGCAGTTGTACTAACTTTGATGGCCAGTAAAACAATGTCAAACACACTGTCACACTTCTGTCTGTACATGCAACTTAAAATGGAATAAAAAATGGATAAAAAAATATAAAAAAAAAAATCTCTGCCCAAAGCAGAGTCGATTGTACAACTGGGACTATATCACGAGCAGATATTTGTTTCAGCAGTATTACCTAACTTTGACAGATTATGTCCTAAAAGTCCCTTCATAAGTCGCTGCACATACACGGAAGTTAAATGTGGCTATCAGCAAACCAAATGCATCCGATCAGCGATGTGAATTTCTTCATTTATCAAATGTTAATCTAATGATAGCCAGCCTTAACTTAACCTTCAACATGACGTCACAAGACACTGACAGCTAGTAGTCATAGAAGGGTTTCTAATAGTACTCACTTGCTAATGGCGCTCTTTGTTCAACGTATTGAACACGAAGGACATGGGTTAAAATGAACTTCCTTGTTGTGAAGTCCCGTGACATGAATTGTGATTTAGTTCCTGGTTGTATTTAATTGGTTGTAATAAACATGACATAAACATGTTCACAGAATGAGTCCATCTAGGCTTTAAGGAAAGTTTTATTACACCTTAAAACAGGCCTCGTCGGAAACTCAGTGATCCGGACACGCGGTAGTGTCTGGATCAACGGGACTGTTCTCCTCTGTTACGGCAATGACCTGTTGCAGGTTTCTGCTAGAACCATTATCAGCATTGTTCACCTTCGAAATACGGCCAAACACTGTTGTGTCGAAGTTGAAGGGACCTACGTAAATGCTTCGAGTTATCAGAGGTTCGACAGAGCCGGAAAATGATGTCAAGATGAGGTGAGTGAGTTTAGTTTTACGCCGCACTCAGCAATATTCCAGCTATATGGCGGCAGTATGTAAATAATCGACCAGACAATCCAGTCATCAACAGCATGAGCATCGATCTACACAATTGGGAACCGATGATATGTGTCAACCAATTCAGCGAGCCTGACCACCCGATCCCTTTAGTCGCCTCTTACGACATGGGTTACTGAAGATCAATATTCTAACCCGGACCTCCACGGGTGGTGTTTTCCAGGTACTGCTAATGATCATGATGACGGTTTAGCGTCTACCTAATAGTGCGTTCACGTTTGTTTTGTATCGAAATGTAATGATAATGGCATCATTACACCAAGTTCCCATGACAACGTACTTCAAGTCCAGACAGGAAATTACAGTCAACATGTTTCTTTAGATACGAAAATTAGTTTATTTCAAAGCAGCATGGTGTATACAAGTCACCTTTATTTAAGGATAGGCCACTTACATTAGCAAAAACCTTTTAAACGACATATTAAAAATCTTAAAACAATATGTAAGGAAAATACGATTCAAGAATATTATAAACACCGTTACTTTTGTGGTGTTATACATGGGTCTGCTTATCAATAAACAATTACCTGATTTGATTATAACATAAGCCTAATATACCAGTACTTCAGTCGCCAAAGAAATATAGAATACAATTAATAAAAATAGGAAAACTTCAAAAAATGAAAACGATATTTATTACCTAACAGATCACGCTACCGGTGCAAGTAACAATCACAATTTGGAACGTGTGGCAAGTGGTTGAGCGAGTGAATGAGTTTAGTTTTACGCCGCTTCCAGCAATATTCCAGCAACATCACGGCAGGGGAGACCAGAAATAGGCTTCACACATAGTACACATGTGGGGATTCGAACCAGGGTCTTCAGCGTGACGAGCGAATGCTTTGACCACTAGGCTACCCCACCGCTCCTAGTGCAAATGTGAAAATATTACACTTCAAAAGACTCAAGGCATTATACATGGAAATATTATGTGGGTATGGGTTAATCCTTTAAGCAGCTCTCTTAAGCTTGTGTCAGTGTTCTTTCAAGCATCAAGGTCATTCAAGTGATGTTTACAGTATTTCAGAGGTACGCAAGACAAGGTCAAGGTAGTTACTCATATAAAACTTTCAAAGGCATACAAAATTGTCAGATTACTGGGAGCGTTAATAACTATTTTCATTCAGGCAGCTTGAGACACAGGACTAAGTGCTGTATTAGAAAACATTTAGGATCATAGATGAATACTTGTATTATAGTTGGTGAATGTTCTGAATACATGCTTCTGGGTAAGTATCATTAAGAGAATTTCTGGCTTACGTCGCCGCTTTACAATATGCATCATGTCCAAAACTGTTCGCGCCTTCCAAAAAACAAAAACTTGAATCTGCTTCTGAGGACAATATTCTATTGGCATTCTTTTGCACTTATATCTTTACAGCACGGGACATTCGGGGCAATCGATCTCAGATCCAACAGAACCATCAAACACAACTGATCCCATTGCTCAATGTCATCAAACGTTTCCAAAGGAAAATTATTATCCCTATCCAGGAGCTGAGTCAAGATTCGTGGCAACGGATGATCGAAGATGTCATCGGAGTACAGAATGATCAGCCTGTTGGACATGAGGTTCGTGCTAGCATAGACTGTCGAGGAGAGCGTGAAGGAACAGAGCTCATCTTCCAGGAAGGTCTCAGACAGGTAGATGACAGTCTTCCAGCTGTTGTTGATGGCGTCAAGAATCTCTTCTGCAGTGCAATCACCAGGATGAAAGTCTCTATCTGGAATACAAAGACGCAGACTTCTATCTGGCTCCATTTTCTGTCTAAAGGTGTTGCATACCCATCGATGATCATCCTTTGATGAATAGTAGACAAACACATCATAAGTAAAGTCGCGTCTTTCAGGGATTTTGAAAGACGTTCCAAACCATCTAAGCATCATGCATTTTAATGAAATCAAAGGACCCACATGTGCAGGAAAGAGTATTTCCTTGAAGGTTAAGATTAATTCTCTTATTCTTAAGCTCATTCACAGTATCTAGACTTAGCCTGGTATCTACACTGAGCTGACTTATTGAGTTATAGGAAATATCAATCTGCGTTATATTGGGGATCTTTTCGATGTCTCTTGGCAGGTCCTCTAGATTATTGTGAGTCAAAGTGAGTAATTTAAGATTTTGCAAACGTCCAAACACAACTTCAATATTTTTACTTATGTTTGCCATGCCGAGCTTTATTTGATTAAGGCATAATATGCTAAGTGCAGGAAAAGACTTCATCAAGTTCACGGGAAGTTCATAAAAGCCATTCCCAGAAAAGTCCAAGTAGCGAAGATGTTGAAGACCAAACACGGTAACGTCCATGACAGTTATCGAACAGTTAGCAGCATCGAGGTTGTGTAGATGGTGACCTCCGTAAAACCATAAATTTCTAACAATTTCCATCGAGATGTTTATATCAGAAAGAAAGTTGGTCATGAACAGAGATTTCAGTTCTGAAGGCAGGACAACAGTCATACTTGTGAATATATGACCATTCTGAATCTGACTTTTGCGTGTCTGACTAATCATGAGGTTGTTTGAGATCAACTCCTTCAGTTTTAAGCGTTTCTGAACATTTGAGCGAGGAACATATCCAAGATCTATTTGCATAGCAGAAGACGAGAACCATTGACGAGAACCATTGATGAGATATTTCCTTATAGTCTACTGTGGAACACTTAAATCGTGATAATTTGGACGTATGTCCTAAAGATATGGCAGATAATTGGGGAAAACTGGAGAGCGTTTGAAAAACACCAAAGTCCCCAAGAATTTCGTTGTTGCTCAGATCTAAGAACTGAAGACATGAGGACAATGGTAACTTATTCAGGGCGTTTTTCTTAATGATCTCGATTCTGTTAGTGTCAAGAATGAGTTCATGTACACATATTTATACAAGGTAACGAGTCATAAACTCAGTAAACACAAGTGATCGATTGTTTCTGACATTTTCTACTGTGATGTCAATTCCGTTAATGTAGAATAATGTAATCCGCTTCATGACTCTTGTCTCGGAACTTAGGAAGTATTTGAAATTGGCCAAAACATTCTTTAGACCAGTGTTTGCGGAGGTTTTCACTTCTACGTTAATCGCTTGAAGAAACATCGTAATCACATCGCTGTCTATTGTACCGAGGCCACATCCACTTATAGATACTGTAGTAATGTTCATTTTAAGGATTATTTTCATCGCGTCCTTGGAGAGATGACCGTAAGGTTGACAGTATTGGATTGTTAATGTTCTCAATTGACTTAGTGATTGAAATTCAGGACCAAACACTGGCCTCATTGGTGTAATAGTTGCAAATGATTCCAGATGGATGAGGTCAGACAAGGTTTCATCTGGAAATGTCCAGTTTTCTTCCCAAAATAACATAAAGGAGAGGTCAAGATGTTTCAAGGGAAGATTCCTGAAGAGTCCTTGCGGCAATGATGAATATGTGAAATTGATCATATTTCCTCTAAGATCTAGTTGTGACAGTGACGGTAGGTTCTGAAGGGAATCTTTTTCCATATGAGTTATGTTGTGTACACATGCACAGTCCACCTTAAGGCCTTCCCGTATGTACTGGAACTCACACTTGTCAATCTGATTTCCATGTGAAGACGACGACAGTATAAAGTGCCCCTGTAGCAAAAGCATTGCCGAATAACCGGTTATCATGGTTGTCTGAAAAAGATTTAGATATCATTTCATGTGCAGTCATATATATTGGAGAATTGTAATCTGAAGCTATTTCAAGTACTAATGTCAGCTAACTTGTCATTTTTACCATTTACGTGGATATTATAAAGCGCCTTGACTATGGACACAACGGAGAGAGAGAGAGAGAGAGAGAGAGAGAGAGAGAGAGAGAGAGAGAGAGAGAGAGAGAGAGAGAGAGAGAGAGAGAGAGAGAGAGAGAGAGAGAGAGAGAGAGAGAGAGAGAGAAAGAGGGAGAGAGAGAGACGGTGTGTGTGTGTGTGCGTGCGTACGTGCGTGCGTGCGTGCGTCTTGCCTGCGTGTTTGGTTCAAGTTACCAGACATTTACATGCTCATGGAAACACAATATCATCTCTTAAAACCCATATCTGCATTGGGAGAGTGAGTGAGTATCTATCTATCTATCCTAGATAGATAATACCACAGTTTATCTGTCTATCCTAGATAAATAGATATATGATAGATAGACAGACAGACAGACAGACAGACAGAGAAACATACAGACAGACAGACAGATAGATAGATATACAGACAGACAGATAGAGATAGATAGATATACAGACAGATAGATAGATAGATATACAGACAGATAGATAGACAGACAGACAGACAGACAGATAGATAGATAGACAGATAGATAGATAGATAGATAGATAGATAGATAGATAGATAGATAGATAGATAGATAGATAGATAGATAGATAGATAGATAGATAGATAGATAGATAGACAATGCAGTGATTAACAACACGAGCTGATTTGTGTTTTTACCCTACTTTGTTGAAGCTTCTTCAGGCACAAAAAGAAGCGTCAATAAAATATGTGAACCAACTAACTGTTTGGGCGGAGGATCTGAATAATCGTGCAATATGAAAGTGCATTCAGTCAGCGTGTGAACGCTTCTTGTTTCTGAACAGGAAGTGATAATGTAATTAGTCAAACAGGGTAAGGTTAGTTTGTTGTTTACGCCGCACTCGTAAATATTTCAGCCCTATAACGACAGTCTGGAAGTATACTGAGGCTACTTTAGAAACGCATCACCGAGATAAAACGTTTACCTTCTGTGATAAATGAAGAAAATAGCTTGTCCTTGCTGACATTGAAATTGCCAGTCAAGATGGAAACACAAGAAAAAGCAATATGGCGGCGGGTCTTGAATAATCCAGTCTGGACGAGACAAACCAGTAGACGACTGCAAGAGCAGTGATCTATGCTATTAGGATACGATGACATTCAACAGTTAAGTCGGTGAGCTTGGGTTATAGATATTTAAAGTTTCTGTCCTTACATTTTAGGTCTACGTAAGCTTAACTCTACTTATTATACATATCAGATGTGAACGTATTAACCCTGCAGGAAACGTTGTTCCAAACCTGGTAATGTATCCCGTGCTGACTTGGTTGACACATGCTGTATCCCAATTGCGTTGATTGATGCTTGTTCTGTTAATCACTGGATTGTATGGTCCAGTTTATTTACAGACATACAGACAGACAGATATAGTTTATTAAAGTGTCACGTGAACGATTACATGAAATAAAATACACAATAGACACAGTAAAATATCGTTCACCCAGCCAATAAGGCTTATGAGACACTATACACAATTTAATAGCTATGTACATTTCGTTTTGGAGTAAAGTATAAGAAGTAGTTTAAATGAATAACATTATTTACAGGAATAGGAGTCGTCTTCTAAACATGTTATTCACAGTGGTTGATAAAATTAGCGGGTCTGACGACATTAAAATGTTTAATAAATGCACATTGTTATTAAAATCTACATTTATAAAATGATATCTAAGATCCTGATAAAAATAACAGTGCCAAAGAAAATGTATCTCGTCTTCAACACAATTACAGAACGGACAAATTCTCTCACACAGAGGGGTGGCGGTTTGCTGTAACGACCTGTTTCTATACGTAATTTTAGATTACCGCAGCGTAGTTTAGTCAGGTTACTTCTCTTAGCTCTGTTGATGATTCGTAGGTATAGCTCAGGATGTCGATCTTTCTTGAATAATCTGTACGTTCGAAGCTTATTTCCATTTACTTTGTTCTTGTCGCTCCACATTTCCGTAAACCATATTTCCTCATCTAGTTTCATTAAAATACTTTTCATTGTTAAAATAGTCATCTTCACAGAGTCGACAGATGTTAAAATGGGGTCCAACTTCAGTTTTTTCCCGAGATGCTGTACTGTGTAAGCAAAGGATCCTCTTTTCTTTATAGACCAGAGGAACAGTCTATTTAGTAATCTGTTGGTAATCTGTTGGTTATCTGTTTGGCTGATTTGATATAAAACGGAACGCTTCAATCCTCTGCTTTGTAAGACAAGTTGCCCAGCCCATTTCACCGTGGATAGCTATATTGGATGTCTTGCGCGGCACTCCAAGGAACAAACGACAGGCTCTATACTGTATACTGCTGATTTCACGGTGTCCGTACATCACCCAGATACGCGCACAGTATTACACGGTGTCCGTACATCCTCCAGATAGGCGTACATTATAACACGGTATCCGTACATCCCCCAGATAGGCGCACATTATAACACGGCGTCCGTACATCCTCCAGATAGGCTCACAGTATAACACGGTGTCCGTACATCCACCAGATAGGCGCACAGTATAAGACGGTGTCCGTACATCCCCCAGATAGGCGCACAGTATAACACGGTGTCCGTACATCCCCCAGATAGGCGTACAGTATAACACGGTATCCGTACATTCCCCAGATAGGCGCACAGTATAACACGGCGTCCGTACATCCTCCAGATAGGCTCACAGTATACCACGGTGTCCGTACATCCACCAGATAGGCGCACAGTATAACACGGTGTCCGTACATCCCCCAGATAGGCGCACAGTATAACACGGTGTCTGTACATCCCCCAGAGAGGCGCACAGTATAACACGGTGTCTGTACATCCCCCAGATAGGCGCACAGTATAACACGGTGTCCGTACATCCACCAGATAGGCGCACAGTATAACACGGTGTCCGTACATCCCCCAGATAGGCTCACAGTATACCACGGTGTCCGTACATCCTCCAGATAGGCTCACAGTAT